TCAATTGTTTAACCTTTGAAACAACATGTTGTCTTTATAATGCCAAACTTAAAAATATACAGATGCTTCACCATGGCATCTATATATTTGGGTCTCTCGCATTATCTGACAGCTCAGGCTCTGGAGAGAGAAGTCACTGACAGAACGCATGAAGGCTGCTGCTGCACAGAATGGATGACAGATCTGTGGAAGAGAGCTGAATGCCTGATAAATGCCTTAAAGATGTGCACTGGCCTGCACGCAGTCCTGCTCTGCCAGCAGTGAAGCTCAGGTAACTGCAGGTGACCCAACATCATAAGCGTCAGCTAAATATATGGAGTAACACGAACACAATCTACTCACTCTCATCTTCCTCCAGCAGCCCGCTGCTCGTATCGTCCCAGGTCAGAATCAGCGGCACGTCGTCGTCCCCCTCCGCCATCCCGCGATGAGAGGACCGCAGTTTTAGGGGACACAGAGTCTGTTTGGCCAATAAACTGACCTTTCGGTGCTGCAGAGAAACTTTAACACTGAACACACGACACGAGTTACAGAAACCGCTTTACTGTCCCCGGACACCAAACCGAGCCAGTTTATGCTAAAATGTGTTTGAAATCAACTTTGACGGTGTGAGTTAAACGAATCATAATTATAACCGTAACAGAGCCTGTCTGTTTACGTCAATATTTTCACCTGTTATTAAAATACCAACGCAAGCGCAAAGCATATTGCGTATTTCCAAATAATTAAAAGAGAATTTAACTTTCGAAGGCAGAAAAATACGATTTAATCGAGTTTGTAACATTATAAATAAAAGAACTGCCGCCGTCAAGCAGGAGGGTTTGACGTTACGTCTTTTTACAACAGTGTCATTTTTGGCCGCAGGAATAGACAGCTGAAGTGTCACAATAAAAGCCACGGAGTGAAAATGTGTCTCATGCCAAACATATTTAGACATTCAGTGATAATTTGAGGTTTATGAAATACATGCAGGGAAAATGTATCTATATATATGTGTAAGTAAATCACGGATGAGATTTCTTATTTTGTTTGTTGCTAGAGTGGGAAGTCACTGGGATCAGAATGTCATGCCACCGGTTGTCACAGCAACTGGTATACATAACGTCAGAGTGTGTTGTTTACATGCATACAGATTTCTACAAACATGAATAATAACACGGTAATGTACAACATGTTCAGGGAGAGCAAAATGGTTATTGTTGTGCGTTATTGTTTATGGGTTATTTAGACATTTAGATGTTAAGCGCAAAGTATTTCTTTGTCAGCAATGAATAGGAATATAAATAGAAATGGCCGATACGATAAAATCGAGAAATCTTTTTAAAAATCTATTATAAAACACATGTAAGCGTTGTAATCATATTGGTGTAATTTTTGAAGAAGAAAAAAAGTTACAATTCCCTACAAAGATCTTTTTTTTTTAATCGTGTAAAATGTATTTAAAATATCAAAATGAATTTAGAACTTT